CACCAAGATTAGGCTACACCGTTTTGTGGAGGAACATTATTGAATCCAAGACGGCTTTATTCTGCACTCACTGATGTTGCATCCAGCAGCACTGAACACCCTTTCGCTGCTGCTAATGGCCGGGATGCATACTGATCTGGCTAATTTTGCAAGTTTTGGGATTGTTTGTTTACTTCCACTAGCCAAAAACATCCATTTCATTTTCCATGACAAGGGTTTTAATGTAGCGAGTGACTTCGTCCTTTCCCCTGTCAGCATGTTGAGTACAGATTTCAACAGATGGACATTTGAATACAGTACGAAGAGGATATTGGTGGTGCAGTATAACACTCACTGACGTTTCCTCATTATTTAGGTACAAAATAAAGGCAGAAATGGAAGCTTCACCTCAACAGGAATAGAAAGAGATTATTTTTATGGTGAGCATGGGGTTCATAATGGATGACTGGACACAGGAGAAGGAGGGGTAGAGAGGGGATTTCTGGCATGGAAGAGTTTCTTATCTCCAGACAGGCAGGGCTACAGTGATAATGAGCTCAAGGGACCATGTAAACTATCACACGCACACAAACCTGTGTGTATATGAATGTTCTGGGTGGAGCACTTGACTTTGCAAATAACCTCTTATCTGTTTTTATCAGACAAAGCACTGGTCATTCTGGACATCCTGTGAAACTCCCCTCATTTTTTGAAAGTTAAAAATATATATGTGGGAAACATTTTTCATATGCATCTGTGAGAGGTCATCCAAGTTGTATGTGTGTGTGTGTGTGTGTGTATATATATATATGTGTGTAAACTGTATTTGACATTTTATTCATGGTTGTAAAGATATATATTCTATTTGTTTCATTGCTCCTATCAGCATGATATAAGTATCATAACAAACATTACTTGATTCCATTTATATAATAGGCTTGATCACCCCAGATTCTGGAAGCGTAAAAAAATATTTGGAATAAGAATATTTTACAATGCGGGACACATACAAATACACTAGTTTCTGTATTTACTAACATGAACAAACAATAAACAACACATTTATTAAAGTTTTTATTAATGTTTGTTAACATTAGTTAAGGAAAATACAGTTAATCATTGTTATTCCATCAAGACATTCAGTGTCCTGTCAAAGTTTTTTGTTTATTTTCCTTGTGTATCATGGACCCCCTTACCCGCCCTGAGTTCCTTCTCCTCCAGCTGAAGCAGAGGGAGCGCATGCTCTAAGAAAGGGGTGCCCAGTCCTGCTCCTGGAGATCTATCTTTCTACAGATTTCAGTTGCAACCTTGATCATACGCACTTGTCTTTAATTACCAAGTGCACCTTCAGATCCTACTTAATTGGTTTAGTTGCTTTTGGTCATGGTTGGAACTGAACTCTGCAGGAAGGTAGATCTCCAGGAACAGGATTGGGCACCCCTGCTCTCAGATCATACCAGACTAACTGACTTAAATGCCACCAGCCACATGGATGACGCACTCTATGCATTGTACGATGCAAGCCTTCACACTGCGCCAACAGTGCCGTCGCCCTCAAGAGATCCTCAACCGGATTTTACTGTATTTGTGGAGTAGACACTGGTGAGGCATGGATTTCCTTTTTTCCTTTCTTCCCGTTGTGTGGAACTACTGCCAGTGTACAGTGTTGGCGAAGAGCCAGAGCCTGCCACGACCTACGAGCCATCACTGTAAAGGAGATCTGCCCACTGCAACATGGCTGAGGGTAAAAGATCTGAAACTGTTTATGGTGGAGGATGTGGGTGAAAACAAATTTACTGACTTCTCAACTGAGTTTACTCTCCCTCCACAGACTCCAGAATGCTCTGGGAGTGACAAAGTCTCACCTTCCCCTGTTTCCTTTGCCGTTGTTATGAGGCAGCCTCTCTGCTCCACCTTAGTCCTCCATCTATCCATCCCCGCTTACAGCCTCTGAGTCATGGTCTACTCCTAGGCCCATCATCCATGTGGCTCCACCACAGCCCCAGATTTCTCCTCCTCTACTGTGGCTCTATCACTTCCACAAGACTCCCTCATCTCTCTGGCTCAACCAGGCTCCTTCACCTTTCTGGCTCAACCTTGGTCCTTCGTCACTCCGGTTCTACTTCGACCTACAGAATCCCTGTCTCTTTGGCAGTTGCTGACACCTTTGACTCCACCACAGTCCTCTGGATCCTCCTCCTAGTTACCCGAGACCTTCGGCTCTCCATTTCCACCTAGGGCTCCTCCACCACCTAATCCACCTCCTGTAGTTGAACCACTGGAATCATCGGCCCTGCCTCCTCCATGGCTCTTCCCACTGTCAGCTACACCATGAGCCACCATTGATGTGTGCTGGGTCTCCATCTGGCTTTTACTCTGGCTGCCCCCCTGGATCCTCGATTCGTTACTTCCCTGGTCCTCTGCCCTCCTCCGCAGCACCCCCTTCATTTTTAGATGGTACTGTAGGTGCGAGGAAGTGCCTTTCCAAAGAGGGGTGTACTGCCAGGATTCTGTGCTTCCTCTGTGCCATTGTTTACTTCCTAATGTTATGTCACGTGACTGTTCTTTTCTCCCTTCCAACCATTTAAGTGTTTTATGTGATCGACATGCGTTACTGCCATCGTTGATCATTTTCATTGAATCAAACAACTGATGGTTTGATTGGCTGACAGCTATATTTTGGATGAACTCAGTATTCATGATTAAATTTACTTTAAATCTACCTTTAAATCTTTATTCTTCTACAGCTTTCAGTCTTTAAACTTAATATCAAAATCTCAGGCATTAGAGTCAGATTATATTTAAAACACAGGAGGATTTTTAAAACATGGCTGAACCCAGTTTGTACCTCTACAACATATGTCTCTGATCTAATAATTTCAGTTTATAGGCAGAGGTTAATGAGAGCTGAAAGCCAAGTTTGATACTGAACGGTGTTAGTTCTCACACATATCTTTTACAAACACAAAGAAACTTCTTATATGAAGCTGTGCATTATGCCACAGGGCCTGGTTAATTATTATAGCATGCTGAAGTACTAGAGGAGTCCATTTAAAGTGCAGGATAATATGGGATACTATATACTAGCATTAATACATAAGATCAATGTTTAAATTAATGCATTTTTGGCTAAATACCCTAAAGCCTATTTAGAGAGATGGAAAATTCTTACATAATCAATTATTGTGGAGCCAACAATGTTAACACCCATAGATTTTACACATATATTTATATACATCTCACATTGCTCAACAAGAATATACATTACAATTCTAAGTTTGAGACTGCTAAATCCGTTTTTATTCAGCAAGGGGCATTAAGGTAATCAAAAATTAATGTTATCCCAAAATCATAATATTTCTTACTTTTTTTTTTGTCAAAATGGAGTCATTTGCATATTCGTATTCTGTTACTTATTACATTGTGTGTGTTTCCATTATTATTTTAGCATGCTAAAGTACCAAAGGAGTCCATTTAAAGTGCAGGATTATAGAAGATACTATATACTACTATTATTGCATAAGATCATTGATTGAATTATGCATTTTTTGAAATATATGCGTTTTTTAAAAAGAAAAATGTAATACTCATATCATATACTTATTAAATAACACATTCTGCAAAACATAACATGGTTTCCACAAAAATATTAAGTAGCACAACTATTTTCTTTATAAGAATAATAAGAAATGTATTTAGGCACCAAATCAACATATTACATTTCCTGAAGATCATCCCACGGTGACAACTGGATGCTGAAAATTCACAAATCGATGCTTGAACAATATATTTAACTGAAAGTTTTGAATATTATTGTTTTTAAAGTAATTTTACTGTAATATTGAATACTGAATTTTACTGTATGTATATGCAGTGGTGTAAAATAACAAATTACATATACTCACTACTGTAATTACTGTAATTGAGTAGTTTGTCTCAGAAATTGTAATTTACTAAGTAGTTTTAAAAATGTGTACTTTTACTTTCCCTTGAGTACATTTTTAGTGCAGTAATTTACTCCACTACTTTCTTTCAAATTTAAGTCACTGCTTTATTTTTCATGTCTATGGGGATTGGAAAAATCAGTCCTGTGATTCCTGGAAGGTACATAGAAGGTAAATCGCATCATAATGGACTAGCTCAAGACATGGGAGATTTATAATTGCAGCAAACTGTTTGTAAACATTAAAAGTGTCCAAGAAGATGTCCATAATCTTTACACACAATGACCAAGAGATTCTTAAGATGCATGTCACTGATGAGAAGATGATGGAGGTTTAATGTATGATAACAAAAATGGCCTTAAACACCCAGCAGGCACAAGACGTCAACATGATGTCAGATTGATGTAATGCAACTACGTGGGGACTTTGCATTCTGTTTGGAAAAAAAATTTTGGTTTCCACACCTGATGAATAAATATAAATATTTGACATCAATATGACGTTGGTTTAATATGGTGGCTCGATGATAGATTTTGGTCACTTTTCAACACAACCTAAAATCAACATCATTTGACGTTGTTATTAGACATCAAAATAACATTGTCCTCTGACGCTGGCTAGACATTGGCTTTTAGTCACATAATGTCACGACCTTAATCTAACCTAATATTAACATCTATGATCTTGTGTGCCTGCTGGGCAATAACTTAATGCACTACAGAATGTTATGTTTACACACACATGCACAGATTACAGCGTAATACTCACTACTCTCTACTTTTGAAAGGGCTTTTTTTTTTTTTTTCAACAGGTACTTTTACTCTGCTTAAAAGTAATGGTACTTTTTCGTAAGTATGATTTTTCAGGACTCTTTCCACCACTGTGTATAACTAATTAACATAGCCTTAATGAACATAAGAGACTTATTTTAGACAGATGAAACATAACAATGAAAAAAAATAAAATGAAAAACATTCATGTGAAATGAAAAAACAAAAATGTTTTACCCCAAACAGTTAGTGTAAAAGTAACATTTGTTTAGCAGAATTTATCTACAAATTTAGAAATTACAAATTATGTATAATATCCTTTTAATGTGTCATCTGTGACTTTCAAATGCACCTGTCTGTGTCTGGCTGGTGTTGGTGCTCCAGTTCACCTGTTTGTTTCCAGAGGATTTACTCAAGGTTCCGTCCACATCTCAATGGGTAATTCCCTGCAGCCAAAACAAACAGATTGTAAATAATGGCCTCTCCTTCACAATCACACACACATATCCACTCCACCCAAGACTATAAAGTGTTTTTGGCGCTTACAGTAAACTCTGACCTGCCCGTGTTTGTCATTGGTAATTGGTAATTAAACGGACAAGTGCTCTCTGAAAGCACAAGAATTTAGCTCAGCTGAGTCAATTAGGACACAAGGTAAATATTTGTGCAGTGTCAGGCTTACCTGAGTTAATTGTAGACATCTATGATTTAAAAAAAGTATGATAAAATATTGGCTATTATGGATCACAAAAAAATGTGGTTCTATGCCCATATATAATTTTAAAAGTTATATGTACTGCTTTTTTCTAGTGTCATTGGAAAAACTAACATTTTCAAAAAAAGCTTACGTATACATCAAATTTGCTGCAACTAAACTACAAGGAACAGTAAAAGAGATAAACATCAACACTGGATCCATCACTAACCATTAGGCCACAGCTCCACCACAATTGGACCATATTAAGCAGTTATAAATTACTGAATGTAATTACTGTATTACTGAAACATGTTTTATTATCTATCAAATTTAAATTATTGAAATATTGCTCCTAAAATATCCACTTCTTATTGTTCTGTGTCTGACTTAGGTATTGTCCACACTAATACACTACCTGACAAAAATCTTGTCGCCTATCCAAGTCTTAGAAACAACAAATAGTAACTTGACTTCTAGGTGATCACTTTGTATCAGAAGTGGCTTATATGAAAGATAAAGGCCTCTAGATCAGTGGTTCTCAACTGGTTTGGCCATGGGACCCACATTTTCATATGGTCATCATGCCACAACCCACATTTTTAGGAACTATAATATAATTTTAGGAATTATAATACATTTGCATTTATTTGTTAACATACACAAGAAGTAACCGATAAATCAAAATGTATCAAAGTATAGTAATATTCCAGAGTAAAAATATCAAACACTGTAAACAGTGGTTTTTAGATTTTACAGTGGATTTTAGCTTTACTTTTAGCTTTATTGAAGATTAATGTCTGTTTGTACATGCTCCATATTGCCTCTCATCAAAAGACAACTAAACATTGTCACAATGTTTTAAAGAGACAGTAAGTAAATAGGTAAAAGCTTCATGTCTTATCTAATATATATATATATATATATATATATATATATATATATATATATATATATATATATATATATATATATATATATATATATATATATAATAAAATATACAATATTGAAGCTGTTTTATTTTATATAAAAAAAAGTATATAAAAGTGTCTCATCTTAATACATGAACCAAAGAGTTTTCAGTTGTTTTAGTGTGGATGACCTTTTTAAAAAAAAAAAAAAAAGGAGTTGAAAATTATTCTGCGTTTATAGAATAAAAAAACATTTTTTCAATGTATCTGGATTAGTGTAGATGTAAACATAACAATTTTTAAGTTCACCTCTGACTATAAGCATCAGTCTGCATAACTGCACCACTCCCTTGCTATGTTATATTATGATATGACATAAAGACACCTTAAGTCCAGTGAAACATTTTACTAAAGACTACAATACACAAGACATGTCACTCATGAAGTTTGAATGGAGAAAAGTGTAACGGTCAATACGGCAAATAAAGCCCAGTCTACTAGAACAGTAGCCAATCATCAATGATTATAGACTGATGTTTCTTCAGAAGAGAAGTTCAGACCAGACGTGTGCTTTTACAACAGTTTTTGTGGTCAACAAACACACTGGAATCTCAGCGAACACTTGCTTCACAGATATAAGATATATATTCACATAAAGATTGTAAATCTGTAATTTAAAATGAACCCACTACAGTCAAAAACAAAAGTTTTTGTTTTGTAATCTGTATGAAACGAACACAAGGTACAGTCCATACTGTCAAATGCATATCACTTGACAGCAGTTACTCAAACTCCCACAAACTGTAAACAAAGATTCGGTTTTCGGAAGGACATTTGCCATCAAGACCAAGTTGTGAATTATTTCTGAAGAACAGCGTGATCTGACGAGCATTATTCAGGGGATGATAATGTGTAACAATGCCATAATTGAGGTTTGTGACATGATCTCGTTCCTTTCGAGTGTGCATGTACATTAGCTCAAGCAACCTGAAAAAATGCTGATTTTGTTTGATTCGAACGTTTAAAAACAAAACTTATGAGACAGTAGTTGTTTAATTTTATTGGTGATTCTAAATATGTAATCGTAAGCTTGGTAAACTGGTTTGGAGAATTTTAAGTTTCCCCATTGAGATAGAATGTCTGAGCATACTGCCCGAGAGACCTTTCAAAGATGGCCGCAGATTGAAATGACTTTGGTTCAACACAGGATATAGCACCCTCCAAAGGGCACTTCAGAATGAAGGATTTCACAATCCTTTACACAGGGAAGTTGTTTGGTGTTGCACACTGCTTTCTATTTGGAAGGGCTCGACCCTGTGCCCTAAACCCTTCAAAGAAATTAGGCCATGTAATACATTCATTAGTTCGATATTTTATGACAAATCTGTCACAATCTTTACATGAAGCAACGAAGTAAAATGTTAAAACAGTTGCAATCTTTCTTGAGAACATTACAAAAACTTTTTAGTATCACCCACTCAATATTTAAATTTTAAATGGTCATGAAATTTACAAGAAGTAAATAATTCACCACAGTTATACATATGTTTTCCTTGAGTGTAGGTTGTTATGTTATTTGTCCTTTTTTCAAATTTAGAGCATCGTAATGATCTTCCGTGTGAATGTTTGTGAGTCAAAATTCCATGCACTGTGGTCATACAGACAGGTTCAGCACATGACAGGGTAAAAGAGAGATTACAGTGGCACAAACATAATAATTAAACAGCTGTTCTTCCTCGAGCAGGTGTGTGATTATGTGAGTGTGTCGTGTTTGAGAGCTGGCCTTTCTGAGAACTTTCCAGGTGCATGTTAACATTCTGTCTGTGGTATTTACAAACTCAGGAAAACATTCACATAGAAGTGAAAACACGCTCACAGTCTCACTGTTCGAGAGGTCAGACTTTTTTTCCTATTATTAGTCGCAGGCAGTAGGCGAACGATAATTGAAAATGTGTGAGACGATGATTTTTCTCACACTTGTATGTCATATTTACAAAATGAACTGATGACATGCAATATAATCATGGTAATTTTACAACTGGGCAAGATGCCATATTAAACCGAAAAGCACAGTTAACTTATGCTCAGCAAGGCTGCAATTAGTGGATTAAAGGGGCAGTAAAAATATTAGTTTAATATTTGTTTTAAACGATTATGGAAAGTTGATTTTTTTAATGTTTAGTTTTTAAACTTTAGTGTAACATGGTGACTATTAATCCTGAAAACATTTGAGCTAAATATTATTTGATTATTTTTTTAAATACGAATATGATATGATTGTTCGATAACACTTCACAATAAATTTGTTATATATAATGTTAATGCATTAACTAATATTAACAAACAATTAACGATACCTTTATAACAGTATTTGTTAATCTTTGTTAATGTTAGTTAATAAAAAATAAAAGTGTTCATTATTAATTCATTTAACTGAATAACAGTGCATTAACTTGTGTTATAAAGGACAAATTTGACTTTAAAAAGCCATTAGTAAATGCTCAACGATGATTAATAAATGTTGTACAAGCATTGTTCATTCTTAGTTCATGTTAAATACATTAACTAACATTAACTAATGAAACCTTATGTGTGACATTATGTGTGTCTTTTTACTCACCCTTAGGCCATCCAAAATGATGTCACGTTCTTCATGAAGATTTTAGAAATTTCGTCTGGACTGTCTCTCGAGCCTATAAATTAAATAATGTAAAGAAAAAATGTCAATAATATTCAGTTTCTTTCACAGACAGATTATCTTTATGAGCTGAAGATATTGATTGTGTCTGTGTGTTTTTAGAGACAATGACTTGCATTTTACAAATTAGTATTTTACCAAGGTTTCAGCTAAAAATCTTGAAGGGATAGTCACCCTAAAATGAAAACTGTCAAAGTTTACTCACTCTTCACTGTCATCACAAACCTGTATGAGTTTCTATTATCTGTTAAACACTAAAGATGATAGATGAAAGAACCATTGACTTACAGCCTGATCTCACGAGGGAACGCAAGTATTTTACAGTTTCGTCTCATGAAAATGTATGATTTTAAAAAGGTGTGGTGCCCAACCGTCATCGGGGGGATATCCAATTTGTACTAAATTGTACAAAGGAGAAACTCGAAATTAACATTTTAAAGTACGAAAGAACATTCTGCAAAATAACTTCTTTTGTGCTCAACAGACAAAAGAACCTAATAAAGGTTTGGAAACACTTGAGGGAGATAAAATAGTTACATTTTCGGTATCCCTTTTTTGGGGAAATCTTAAATTTGAGGTGAACTATTCCATTTACACAATGGAGTGTACTAAAAGTATGAATAAAATGATTAAATCATGTGTAATATTCATCCATTCATTTTCTTTCTGCTTAGTCTCTATTTCAGCGGTCGCCACAGCAGAATGAACTGCCAACTTTTTCAGGGTATGTTTTACGCAGCATTGGAAAATAGGCATGAGCCGGTTAGGGTTGTAACAATATACCGGTATGACGGTTTACCACGATTTGAACGTGCACGATTATCATACCATGAACAATTGCATATCAACGGTTTTAACCCTTAAAGACCGAGACAGCCGCCCGCGGCTAAAAATAAGTATTGCTCTTAAATGTTTAATAACTTTTGATCCGCTGATCCGATTCATACAATTCAAAGATTGGCATAAAGAAGAGAATCTCAGCTTTCCAGTGCTGTAACATTTGCGGACTTTCAGAGGCTCCGGAATCAGTGCAGTTACGTCATCAAAATTTGACAACGCTGATTTGACAAAGAAACGCTCGCCACTGTGTCTCCGGACAAACCAGACATGCTACATTGATGCATTGTCCCTCCTCCATGCCCAGATTGGTTCAAACTCGCTATATCACAACCAATAAGCATAGGTTTCGCTTTTGTTTGTGGACCATCAATGAGCTTTTTGAAAAACACGGAATGAGAGATAGGCATACATTTATGCTCGGCTAAATAAAACGCAAAAAAAAAAGTTTTACATGAAATAATTCTCATTTAAGTACTTTTGCATGCACAGCAGCACAGAAACATGACAAAACAGTGACACAGCAAAGACGAACTGCTGCTCTTGCTGTTTTCAAAAGACGCAAATGAAGGTGCAGCTGTTTGTCTGCATTGCAGACAACCATATCCAAATCCATAGACAACCATATCCATGCTGGCACATAAATCCTAAGGATGTTCCATATTGAATCTAGTTTCGTTATGTAACTATTTATAGTATAGTAAATATTTATATCTATTTTTTTACTGAGGATTTGCACCATGTTTATTTGGACTTTGACACATTATTTATTCTTATTTTTTTTTATTTGTTCATTGTACAAGTGGACACATTCTCTCACCTCAGCGGTCAAGATTAAGTCCTGAAAATCTCAACTTGCTTACATTTCTTCATCACAACCTAGACTGAAAAAAACAACGCTTTAAATACATGTTTACAGCCATAAACTTGGTATTGCACTTTTGGTCTCCCATTTATCCTGCTTATAAGGAAGGACAGTTTAAGTTTATTTTTGTCTAATCTTAAAAGACCTTGCTTGTTTATTCCTTCTAATTTAATTTATTAAAATGGGTAATTTTTCAGTTTATTTTTATAAAAGACTTCTATAGTTCTATTAAAATGGTTCTTTCAAAAGTTTGTTGAAATAAAACCTTTGTTCAGTCAGAAAACGTGTTCTTATTCTTTTCAGGGTCTTTGCTATGAGAATTACTATTTAATACCGTATACCGCGAAACCGTCAAACCGTGGTATTGTTTTAGACGATTATCATACCATAAAAAATTCATACCGTTACAACCCTAGAGCCGGTATAAGATTCTGATCGTATGTTAACCTTAGATAAAAATATCACGGTTTGACGGTATTGTGATTACTGCTCTAAAATATATTCTTTTTAAATGTCTGGTTAAAAACACAAAACCTTTTTTCCCACTGAACACAAACATATTTTATTTAGAGAAACATTAAAAATATTTTTGAACAGTAAAGGCTATATATATATATATATATATATATATATATATATATATATATATATATATATATATATATATATATATATATGCACATAAAAAAAAAAAAAAAATATATATATATATATATATATATATATATATATATATATATATATATATATATATATATATATATATATATATATATATCGTAGGAATGGTATAGCAGAAAATTTTGGTGGTTTCAAGACTTTTGCAAACCGCGCTATACCGTGAAAACAGATATCGTCGCATGCCTCATAGGAAACATCCATACGCATTCACACACACACATACACTACAGACAATTTTGTTTATTCAATTCACCTATATTGCATGTCTGTGGACTGTGGGGGAAACCAGAGCACCTGGAGGAAAACATGGGAAGAACATGCAAACTCGACACAGAAATGCCAGCTGGGACTCAAACCAGCGACCTTCTTGCTGTGAAGTGACAATGCTAACCACTGAGCCACCATGTCACCATAATGTGTAATAGTAATAACAAATATCAAACACAATCATTTCCTTTTTAGCTTTTTCTTATATAATGTGTGAATGTGTGAGCTGACTTTTTTCACATCAGCAGGATTTTTTAATTATTTTGTGTCAAACCAGCAGACCTGGGTTTGAGAAAGTGGCTCCATGAGGTCTCCTTTTAATTTAAGATAAAATCCAAATGCATCTCATAAACATGAAGTGTATTAAATTTGTTTGTGTGTTCAAAAAGGCTGGGGATCATAAAAAGTGTTTCTCAGAAGTAACTGTAAATGTGTAAATTCAGGTGCTGGCCAGGAGAACACAAAAAAGACTAATAATTCCAGTTTTCCACCCGATGTGATTCAAAACTAAATGTACAGCAAGTGAGAATTTAGAAAAAATAAATAAAAAGGTTCCCTCTCCATAAAAAGCTCCCAGTGTGTGGTCTGTCTGCATCTTAAGCATTTGTGGTCATTGTAAAGACTGTTCTTACACTCTTTCTTCATTTCACCTCATCAGTGGCTGGTTTTCCATTATGATATCAGCCATTGCTGCTAAACTTCTGACTACCAGTAGATGTCTAACAGCTCCAGCAGCTTATGGCTTATTAAAGTTTGGTTTCTCTGAGGGCTGCTGCAAAGCTTTGCTTGAAAAGAGAGCTCATTTTGTCTGTCACTCAAACAAAATGATGCCAGCTCACTGCTGCTGAGTTCCTTGGTTTGTGTAATTGGCTAGCAAGTGTAAACCACTTACCATACTTGAGTAATAAGGCATGATAGTGAGGCATGTGAAGACACAATCTGTCAAAGTTTGGTTTGGTTGGAATGATAGAAAAAGGTGTTATGTGAAAATGTTGTGTCTTTAAACTGGAATGTTCTATTTCAAAAATGGGTTTGCAATATTTATGATCTATATGGTGATGTTGTAACAGTAGTTTTCTGAGCTGACATTACAGAGTATCCCATTTACTAAGAAAAAACACATTTTGCCAGTTTTTAAATTGTTATCTGGAATGGAAAATTATTTGTTTAAATTATTTGTTTGACGGCAAAACTAACTATATATATATATATATATATATATATATATATATATATATATATATATATATAAAACTTCAGTCTTGGGTGCCATGTGATCTTTTAGAAATTATTTTATATAGCTGATTGGTCTTACATGTCAACTATAAATATTTATTGTTATATATTGACAAAGGGGGGCGGCGTGATGGCGCAGTGGGTAGCGTTGTTGCCTCACAAAAAAGAAGGTCGCTGGTGCGAGTCCCAGCAGGATCAGTTGGCATTTCTGTGTGGAGTTTGCATGTTCTCCTGGTGTTCGCGTGGGTTTTCTCTGGGTACTGTGGGTTCCCCCACGAGTCCAAAGACATGCGCTATAGGTGAGCTAAATTGTCTGTAGTGTATGTGTGGGAATGAAAGTGTATGGGTGTTTCCCGGTGATGGGTAGCAGCTGGAAGGGCATCCAATGCGTAAAAATATGCTGGATAAGTTGGCTGTTCATTCTGCTGTAGCGATCCCTGATGAATAAAGTGACTAATCCAAAAAGAAAATGGATATACTGACAAAGACGTGTGTTATTATTGTCATTTTATGACCATTTTAGGGTGTGTGAAAATTGTAAAAAAAAAAAAAAAAGATATATATATATATATATATATATATATATATATATATATATATAATTTAGGGTTGTAACGGTATTGAAAATACCATCATACTGCAATAGCAATTTTTTTCGATATTACCGTAGTCGCATGACTCTGTAAAACTATAGGTCGTCTGAGAAAATTTGCTCAGGCGAATGAAGCGAACGGGAGGTAGCGGAAACTACAATTCCCATCAGCCCAGGCGTGGCCATCATCCTTTGTGGTCTGTTGTCGCTACAGATCCAGTAATGCGGAAATCGAGTGTGCTGCTTGTAGCGGGAATGAAAAAGAGCTGGAAATGATCGAAACTAAAGCGGGTGTTTTCGCCGCGCGCGTACTGAATAGCGGTGTTGTCCCGCGCGTGCAGATCAGCTGTGTTGTCGCGCGCGTACTGTAAAGCGGGGAGGAGGGGTTGAGCGCGCATACTCAAGAGCGGTGTTGTTGCGCGCCTACTGAAGGGCGGGACGGAGGGTGTGTCGCGTCGCGGGGGAACTTTTGATCATTTTGGAAGGGCATTTTCTATCC